CTCATAAAGAAAGGCAGGGGAAGAAAGGAGTACGCTACTGCTGAAGGAGACCAGGAAGACCAGATCCTCTGGCCTGGATCTGCTCCAGAGATGGGGGTTGATCCTGCATTCTGAGCTTTTGTCCTGGGCCCATAAGGAGAAGTCAGGGAACAGTAAGTGAAGATCAGAGGGACAGAGTTTTAGAGGCACACCAAAGGCCAGCCATAGTCACAATGGTCAACCAAAGCTCACGGGCTAGGACTCTCTTCAGATCAGTAGCACGGCCTTCTTTTGACGGACTTCAAGCACACAAGTGAGATGTTTCATCCAACACACTTTGGTTCATGCGAGACATTTCTTGTAGGTGAAAAACATCTTTGCACTAAAAAAAAAATTGAATCCTTTCATCACTTGTCTAGCTTCTTATATTTTGCATCCAGTTCCTTCAAATATTTCTCCAACTTGTCAGCTCCCTGCTCCTCTGTTACAGCGATCGGATCCAGATAGGATGGAAGCGCTGCAAATATTCCGGTTCGTGTCTTCCGGCTTTCAGCTAGTGGTAGCAGCAATAGCTTGCACTTCTAGATACTTCACACGGGTCACTCTGTTCTTACTCTCCACGTTTGTTGTCTTCACCGGGAGCTGCCGGCTTGCCATTTTGGAGAATGTGCCCTGGCAATCTTGTGAAACCAGTCTCCCTAGGCTTCCTCCGTAGGCAGCCTCCTTGGCTGTCTCCATCACAGCATCATCTGAGTGGAGGATGGAAGGGAAAAGGGAAGAAAGGAGAGAGACAGAGACAAACAGAGACAGACAGAGAGATAGAAAAGGGAGAGACAGGGAAAGGATGGGAGGAAAAAGGGTGAAGAGATGAGGAGGGACAACATAATAGTCTTTCAAATGTTTGTAGACACCTCTCATCCTGCTTAAGCCTTCCCTGAACTAAACATGGGGCAAGTAGGTGGCACAGTACACAGAGCATTAGGCCTGGAATCAGTTAGATTCATCTTCCTGAGTTCAAATCCAGCCTCAGACACTAGCTGGGCAACTTTGGACAAGTCACTTCACCCTATTTGCCTCAGTTTCCTCATCTGTAAAAAGAGCTAGAGAAGGAAATGGCAAACCACTCCAGTATCTTTGCCAAGAAAACCCCAAATGGGGTCATGAACAGTCAGAAACGACTGAAATGACTGAACAATAATCAACTAAACATCCCTGGTTCCTTCCCCTGGAACTTCACCTATCTACCATCCAATTGCTGCAGGAATTTAGGCCAATCATTGTAATGCTACATGGTTAGCAGCTGCCTTTTATGATTGAAGATTTTCTCAAGGTAAAACGATCTGTGAAAAAGTAGAAAGAGCACAAGGAGAGACTCAATAGAACTACCTCTCCCCCCTCCCCCCCCACACTTCATAGTATTCTATTTTTTCCAATTACGTGTAAAGATCGTTTTCAACATTCATCTGTGTAAGATTTTGAGTTCTAATTTTTTCTCCTTCTCTGCCTCCCCTCTCCCTTCCCCAAACCGCAAGCAATCTGATGTTATACATGTACAATCACGTCAAACGTATTCCCACATTAGTCATGTGGTGAGAGAGAATCAGAACAAAAGGGAAAGACCATGAGAAAGAAAAAACAAAAACCAAGTGAAGGTAGGACGCTTCGATCTGCGCTCAGACGCCATAGTTTTTTCTCGGGATGCGGACACCATTTTCCGTTGTGAGTGTTGGAATTTAGACCCAGCTTTTAGTCACCGCTTCGTAGTCAACTAGCTGAGTGACCTCAGGTGACTCACGTCATTTAACCAAGGTTCCATTTTTTCATCCTTAGAATGAAGGAATGGGGTTGGAGGACCTCCTCAGTCCCTTCTAGCCCTGACGTTCTGTATTTGGAGTCTAGATTTTAAGCTAGAAGGGAACTTAGAGGTCATCTAGTCTAGCTCCCTCATTTTACAGTGAATGACAGGCCCAGAGCATTTCAGTGGCTTACCTGCCATCACACTGGTAGTTAAACGGCAGAGGGGAGATTTGAATTCATCTTCAGACTCCAAGTCCATAGCTCTTTCCACTCTACTATGTTGCCTCTAGTAGGTTTAAAAAACTGATGTTGACTTTTTTTCATTTTTGGAGCAATTGCGGTTAAGTGACTTGCCCAGGGTCACATGGCTAGTGAGTGTCTGAAGTCAATTTGAGCTCAGGTCTTCTTGACTCCAGGTCCAGTGTGCTATGCACTGTGCCACCTAGCTGCCCCTGAGAGCCCTAATTTTGAGGACAGCCTCCACTCTTCCACCCCAAGCTTGCTAGCCCACAGCTGCCTAGCATTCCAAGCTAGGTTATCACCCCTGAGAACTAAGTTCCTAAAAGCATTAGGTGAACCATGGGCAATCCTGGCACTTTTTTGGAAGTCCGCAGAGCAATGGATAAAAGCATCAGACATGGAATCAGGAATTGCTAAACCAGATAGCCTTTTCTCAGTCCTGATCATTCATAGCTTCTTTCCCACAGTTAACTACCCCTCCTCCTGGGTATTCTTTCTTAGATCTTCTGATTGCCCTTCCTCAATGGCCTTTGCTGAACATCATCTATAGTTTGCCCCCAACTCATCCTGAGTATCCCCCAAGGCTTTGTGCTGAGCTCTCTCCTTTTCTCTACTTACACCTTCTCTCTAGGTGATCTCATCACCTCTCATGGGTTCAGTCATCATCTCTATGCAGGTATCTAGCTCTATTATCTCTTTAGCCCTAGTCTTCTGTGGCCAACTGTAGGTGACTCACTCTGATACCACTTCAGGACACTTGATTCAAAATGTCATTGGAGAAGAATAACGATAATACTTGACCCATAGAAAGAGTAAACATTTATTAAGCACCTACTATGTACCAAGCACTCTCTCAAAGTATTATCCCTATTTGACAAATGCAGAAAGTGAGGCTCAGAGACTCAGACTTGCCTATAAGTCAAACAACTGCCTTTTTTGGGGCAAGGGAGGTGAGGGGAAACCTACAAATCTCCAGCTCTTACCTGAATCATTCCTTTGTTTCCTCCAATCTGTTTGATGCTTAATCCTTGTATAAACAGATTAAAAAAAAAAAAAGGCACAATCAATGATATCACAGTCACGAATTTAGAGCTGGGAATGAGTTCAGAAGTCTAGTCCAATCCCCTGATTTTACATGAGGGAGAAACTGAGGCTGAGAGAGGTTAAGTTTTTTGCCCGACATCACACAGAGAATAAGGAAGAGAAGTGCGGCTTCAGCCCAGGCCCTGTCATCCCTAATCCCTTTCTACCTTCCCAAGAAGTCTCTTTTCTAACCCAACCTCATTCCCATTGCTTTTCCTGTAAAACTGTCTCTCTTTGTAATTCTCATATTTGTAACTTCTTAACTCCATTATAATATTTTATTACATTTATGTATGAATTTGTTTAGCCTTTCCCTAGCTATTAACCATTTAGGTTGCTTCCAGTTTTTTTTTTTTTTTTTGTATTTATAATAAATGCTGCTGTAAATATCTTCAAACAGAGTACTTTAAAAAACTCTCATAAGGCATATTAATAGCAATGGGATTACTGGTTAAACATATAATTATTTTAGTAACTATTGTAGGTGTACTGACGGATTGCTCTCTAAAATGATTCCAATTTGCAATTCTACCAGCAATGTGTGAGTATACCATATCTCCACAATGCCATCAGTACTGTCCTTTTTTTTTTGTTTATATTTGTTCATTTCACCAAAGTTGTTTCAATTAGGGTTTCCTTTATCTGAGAGGTTAACACTTCCCAATTTTATTGATGCCGTTTATTTTAAGTCATTTCCTGATAACCCCACCCCTACCTCCCAATGAACTCTTCCTTCTAACAAAGAAAAAGTTAAGCAAAACAAACAGCATATATAACAGTCTACATTTTTATCCCCCACCCCACCCCCTTTTTAACAAAGAGAGGTGTTTCTTCGTGTTTTCTAGGACTGAAACTGGTCAGGTTAACATGTTTTCAAGTGACTATCTGCAAAGCGGGTGTCCTTGTTTAAAGTAAATTGTTCTGTGTTTTTCAAACTGTTCATGTTCTGGAGAACAGGTAACAATGACTTCTTAGGTGATGATCAGATAGTGTTGGCAAGGAAGGCCAACAGAAGTCAGGGAGGAGAAAAGGGATGACGGACACGGAGGGCTAGCTGCACCTCCGCTCTGGCCTCCAATTCACGCCCTAAACTCAGAGATACAAGAGGAGCACTGAGGAAAGGACAATGGAGCGCAAACCAGACCTATCTTCTTAGTGTGTTTTCTCATTTTTAAAAAAGAGAGTATTATCTGACCTAGCTCTCATTCTGACTCATCAGGCTGTAACAGAGAAGTCCTAAGGACCACCTGGCCAGTAGTTCTTCCCATCTGCCCTGGAGAACTCAACTCTCTGTATTCTGGGTTGTTAAATCCCGAGCTCATTTGGAAGGAGGCCATCTGGACAAACTCTAGTGTGGGAGACTGCCCCACCATGATCGGGCCTCAGACTTGAGACAGCAGCTTTACTTCTCCTGCTGTGACCACCACTGACCGTCCACATTCCCCTCTGGACAGCCAGATGAGAGGAAAGAGCCAAGGGTCTGCTACAGCCAGGCACTGGTTGGGAGGAACCCCTACGGAGAGTCAGCCTTGTAAAAGAAGGCGGTTGAGATGAATGAAGGCCTCTTTCTCCCAGTGAATGGGGGATTCACTAACATACAGCCATTGGAAGTAAGTCACTTTGGAGCCCTTGAAATCGGCTGTTGGGAGATCAGAACTTCTGGAGCTCTGCAGTGCGATCCGGTGAGCTTCACTCACTATAGGGGTGAAAGAAGACAGGAGTTGGGGCAGCTAGGTAGTGCAGTGGATAGAGCACCAGCCCTGGAGTCAGGAGAACCTGAGTTCAAATCCAGTCTCAGAACATTTAATAGCTGTGTGACCCTGGGCAAGTCACTTAACCCCAACTGCCTCACAAAAAAAACAAAAAAACCCCCAAAAAACAGGAGTCAGCACTACCCTGCACACAGCTGACTGATCTGAGCCTTTATTAGAACAGGGCTTCAAACCCTATTGCCAGGGAAACAGGATCTACATACACAAAGAAATGGCCTTCAGATACATCTTCAGGTTATTAAGTAGGAAAAACCCCAAAACAACCATCTGAAAAAGCACGCTAGTTTTTTCAGCGCCAACAGTATTAACTGCTGGAGGCTGGGAAAGTCATAAAGGGAAATTAACTGCAAACCAGAAACACCATTACTCATTTGGGGGCTATCTCCCCCGAAGTGAGAGACACAATTTACATCCTTTGGGGAAGCTTGTACTAAAATCGTTATTCCCCAGGCCCTGGGATTATATTCTCACCGCCGTCACTATTCCCTGCTGTCCATAACCACACAGAGGGTTCCCCCGAGGCCTGGGGAGGTCAAGCCTGAGGAACAGGCTAGGAACACGTGTAGGGCTCTTTGCTGCTTTCGGGACTCTCCTCCTCTCACTGTTGACATAACCAGGGTGTTATCATTCTGCTCCCTCTTCTTCTCTCGTGTCAATGAAAACATCTGACAACTTGGGGGGGAGGGTGGAGAGGAAGCTGGGATGAAAGGTGACAATGGCTGGGCCACACTGGGGGTGCGGTGTGTGGACCAGACTCTCACAAAGCCAAATTGAGGGTCAGGACAGTGACTTAAGCAAACAGCTGAAATGGCCTGGGAGAGGGAAGGCCTGGTGACCACTTTGGGTCCTGCATTCCACAGGTTGGCAACCTCCAGCCCAGGGTAACGACCCTTCCTTTAGCTCCAGAACTATCAGGGACCTGGATTTCCCAGACTTCCATATAAAGACAGGTAAAATTAAATACTCTTGATACGGGTTTGTGCTGAAGGCCCCTTATTGCCAGGACCATGCAAGTGAAGACACTTGTCTAAATGTCCTTGGGACAGACTTCTCTATCTCTCAGGGCTGTGAGGAAAGCACCGCAAAGCCCTTGTAGCACTCCAGAAATGTGGGTGACTGATCCCCCTTGTGACTGAGCCAGGCATGTGTAAGGAGTGGCCACTGAGACACACAGGCATTTCTTACAGTCCCCTCAGGAAAAAGGAGCATTAATGAACTGGAGTCATACACGGCACTGGAATAATGATGTCAGCAGATTCCATCTCAATGAGTTTTGGTTTCCAAGCCAAAAGACACCTCCCTAACGAGTTGCTGCCCTAAGGTTGCCGATCATGCGGAGAGTGGCCGATAAAAAGGGGCAGTGGCAGACCCGAGCAAGCCCAGGCCTTGTCCATTACAGACCCTGAGCCTTCCACACTTTTATTTATCGCCTCCTGGCTGCTCGGTTCCCAACAGGAGAAAGGGATTTGGTCACTGACAAATTCCTGGTTTGTCATTTTCATGGTGTAGAGCAAACGTCCCCAAAACACAGAGACAAGAAACAGAACCTAAGTCACCAGCTTCTCAGAAGCTGATATGGATTGTAGCCCTGTCCACATCGCAGCTCCAGCTTTGATTTATGGTGCTCAGGCTCCCAAGAAAAGAGCAACAAATTCCATCTACACAGCTCTTGTCAAAAGGTATCTATTCAGCTTTTCATAGAAAATGACTCAGAGAAACAGTGACAGAAAATATCATACAAGCGAGTTACTGAATCAAAAAATAAAACAAAACAAAAAGCTAAGACATTTCGTTCAAATTTCCCATCCCAACCTTCTGCCTGTGTTGAGAAATACACACTAACACAATGCCGGTCCCTTGGAAGAAGCCTTGTTTCTTCGAGAAATTCGGTGCATGGTTTCTGGAGGTAAGTGGAGGTTGCCTCTGTCACCCTGGTCAGGATGGGATAGATGGCACCTTGGAAATACGGCCATCTGAGAAAGCAAATTCACCCTCCACCTTTGGCTAGTAATGGTCTTTGTCGGCAGGGAGAACACAGGGCCCGACGCCATTCAATTAAATCCCGCTTCTGCAAACCAAGGTCTCAAGGTCAATAACTCTGGAGTCTTCCACTTCAGATCTTCACTGGATCTCCCCCATATAAAGTCTTTTGTCACTGGATGCAGACAGAACTGTGGGGGAGAGTGAACAAGAAGGTCAGAGTCGGGAAGAATGCAGAGGCTTTGGCAACAAGGGCCAATTCTTATCTAAAAGTAATTTAGACTTCACTTCAATTTTCCTCCCCTTCATGTAAGGGATTCACAGGATATTTTGCCTAACTTTAAAAAAAACTGCATCTGTAATGTTTTTTCATATTCCGAGTTGTAGGCTGGCCGGCCCACAGACGAAGTTAGTGAAGTAACAATTTGTGAAAGGGAGAATAAAACTCTCCCCACACTAACCTAGCTTCTTCAAAGTGACCTCTGTGACTGTTCAGTCATAGAATGGCTGGGTTCTGCCTAACTTTCCAGTCCCACAATTCTGAGGAATTGTGCTGGAGCAAGCTGTGAGGAAGGGAAGCAAAGAGTTTCTATCATATGTGTAGCAATGCATGGCTAAAAACCAAACAGATGCAAATCCATGTGTTAATCAATGGAAAAAACGAGTTATTTTCTTAATTCAATATAAGGTCCTTTATATAAGCAAACTAGCCAATGAAAGTTAAAATGTAACTTTCATTCAATTCAATACTAGAAGATTCCCCCATAGCAAAAATAAATCTATGAAATATGGATTGAATCTAATGAACTCAAGCTGCTCTGGACTCAGAACCCGATTGTGCCTGGCCCCCAGCACCATGCCTGGCATGGAGGCAGGCACTTAGAGGTTTGCTGGTTGACTGAGGCCACTAGATCTCTTGAAGCTCCAAGCTCTTTCTGGTCACAATGTGGGCTGAAAAGGACAAAGAGGGAGCAACTCCCACCCACCCCCCTCCCCTATTCCCTTGTTCCCCAACCCCATTCAACACAGCAGTGTGACTTTCAGTGGCACCTACAAGGGGTGTTTCCAAGGAAACAGATGCAGCAGTATCATATATCTCAGAGACAACTCCTGGTATAGGAGGGAACCCGGTCCACAGTTCCTCCCCCCCACACAGAGTTGAGGTGAACACGGCCTGGTCACGCTCAAGGGAGATGGGAGCTGCTCCCCTCTCTGCTAAAGACTGTAGACACTTACTGATGGGCTCATCTGGGTGGAAGGCCACTTCATTGACTGAGCCAGCATGGCCAGGCAGCTTGTAAAGGATCCTTCTGCTTGTAGTATCCCACACGTATACAAACCTGCAAGACATCACAGCAAGTAAGTGTCAGGCCCAGAAAGGTGACGTGGGGGAAGGGCAAAGCGGAAACAGCTGTGCCCCAAAGCTTTTACCACAAACAAAAGCAGCAATTTTCAATGAATGTGCTCCCAAATGACAAAATGTGGTGACAGAGGAGACTACACCACGCCTCGCCACGCCACCCCCCCCCCCCAAAAGAAAGCAAGTCAACTTAACCTCGCTATTGTTAACCTCCAATTAGGTAGGAATGTTTTGGAAGTAAACTTAGCTGCTTGATGGAAAGTGTAGACAGGTAAAACATGCTCAGATAGAATTCCATCCCTGGATCCAAGAAAGGAGTAGGACATCTGTTCTTTGCAAATATTTGTTTGAGCCAAATGTTACTAGATTCTATAGTAACTAGAATGTTAGAAATGGAATGAGCCTGACAGATAGTCTGAACACTCAATTTTATGAAATTAGGGCTCAGAGAAAGTAAGTCTTGCCCACGGTCATATGGTTAAGTAACAACAGCCAAGATGAGATCTTGGGCCCCTCTCTTTCCACACTAATACTGTTCCCCAACTCTCCGTCCCTGAACTCCGCCCGCCCCCAATATATACTTGCATTCTTTCCCAAGAACACATGACCCATTCAGGTAGATATTATGCAAAGTTCCAGTGGTAAATAAAAGTCGAAGGTAAATTAGAGGTCACAGGCATGTTAGTTTTGCTTTGTTCCATAGCCACCCTGATCCTGTCAGCTAGATACCAATGGACACCACTTGTCTCAAAGGTAAGAGAGAGAAAGCACACAGCCAGGTTATAGCAACTCGATCCCTACTACTGAAGAAATAATTCAGAATGCAAGCTCTAATGATGGGGAGTTACCTTCGAAGACAAAGGACAGGATCTCAGTAGTCAGGCCAGTGGGTGCTGCTGTCACAATTTTAAACAGTCACTGATAATTTGCTGGCCTGAGTCATGAAGCCCCTGAGCAGTGAGTATCTGAACACATTTAATGAAGCCCAGGAAACTCCACCTGCATCAATCAGCATCTCTGCCCTTTCATTCATTGTTATGAATCAAAGCAATAACTAGGACGAGGCTGACCATTTCTCCTGTAATCTGGCCACTTGTCTGATGAAGCCACTTGACACATTTGGGTGTGGGGTGCTAACGAGCTGTGGGATGGGGTGGCAGGTATGAAGTGGCCACATGCAACCAGCAGGATCAGGCTTCATGCTCTGATTAAAGACTCTTGCTTCTTAACCATTTTGGAATCCTGAACCCCTGGGGCAATCTGGCGAAGCCTATGGCCCCCTCAAATGTTTTTAAATGCACAATATAAAATATATGGGATTTCAAAGGAAACCAGTTATATTCAACTACAGTGATCTAATTATTAAAAAAAAAAAAAAAAGCTCACGGGCTCCCAAGTTTACCTCCCCTGGTGCAGAGGGGTCACACCAGCACACCTGATGCCTTTGCCTTAATTACCTTCAAGGAGTTCTGATTTCTGAATGCTGCCTGTGTGCTGAATTAGAGAATAGCCAGGGACAGTAAGGGTGAAGTGCTCCCTGGTGTCCTGTCCATCTTTTCTGGGAATGATTCTGGAGCTACTTGGAGGTGCCAGGGATCCTGTGCCACTCCAGGAGGCAACTTTCTATCTGGAGCTAACTCAGCAGAACTCAGTGATATGTCTTTATGTCAGAATTTATCAGTGACAGGACATCTGCACCTCCCCAAAGATGACTTTCCAGTCCCTGGCTGCATCCCTTAGGATGGCACCATTATCTTCTAAAAGTCCCTTCCTTCCTGTATTACAGGTCTCCTCCCCACTCCCCCCAAACGAATTATGTTACATGAAGTAAAGAATAAAGAGGCATCATATTCATAGGGCAGTGCAAAAATAACCCAATGATAATACTAATAAATTAGAGTTTAATTACAATATATAAAAGTGTATTAGGCGGCTCCCCCCTCCAAAACAAAGCAAAACAAAACTGACTAGACAGCTAGTCAACACCTGACAAAAGAATAACAAGCTAACTTTTATATAGTACTTACTTGTGCTAGGAGCTGTGCTAAGAGCTTTTATAAATATTATCTCACTTGATCCTTACAACAACCCTGAGAGGTAGGTGCTATTATTATTCCCATTTTAAGGTTGAGGAAACTGAGGCAGAAGTGAAATGACTTGCCCAAGATCTCACAGCTAGTGTTTGGGGCCAAATTTGAACTCAGACCTTCCTGACTCCAGGCCTAGCGCTCAGTGCACTATGTGGACACCCAACCGCCTCAGTATGTCCTAGTTAGCATTTTGCTTAAAAAAATCTAGGCTCCAGTCCAACCTAAACACCACTAACTCAGTGGAGGTGGGTGGTATACTGTATAAGATACTGTGCTTAATTACGTATGTGAGGAGCCCTGACCAGCATGGGAGAGGAGCAGGGCATCACCTCTTCTCTACTCTTAGCTCACAGGCTCCTATAATTTCACTTCCCTTTTGGGCCTGCATAAGATGAGCTGTTTGGAGGAGATGATCTCAAAGGTCCTTTCTGGCCGTAAATCCAGTGATCAGCTCTAAGAGAATGAGACGAATCGTTTGGGGAAGGGAGACTTTCTGAATAAAAGACCAAACATAGGTCAGCCCTGGTAATATTGCTTTCTGGAAGGGCTCCATTTTTAGGGCACATGAAAGCCAACAGGAACCCTCCGCCCTTGGAGGATTTACATGAAGGCTTCTCGAAAGGTGGCTGTCAATGAGGTGCTAAATTTAGACAGCTTCCTTGTCGGCTCCTTGCTTTGGCATGGAAACCTGTGGCAGGAACAGTGCGCCTTCTGTCATCCTTCAGATTTGGTGACAAAGCAGCAAAGTGTATTAGGTGCTGTTACGATGTCCAGGAAAATCCCCACAGCGCCCAGCTGGTCAGAAGTGGGGCTATCCTGAGACCACTGCTTGGCAACAACAGAACAATTCAAAGCAACTGAAGGAGGGAAAAAATGGGAGGTCAGAGGAAACTGTGATTTGAAGGAAAGCTTAAGTATCTAATCAAATAAGAAGGATTGTAATCTGCTGAGTGAGAACTTGAGATGTGATCGTTACAAGAACAATCAAAGCAGTTTTCATTCAATAAGAATCAGATGTGGCTTCAGTTTGTTGGCATCGTCTCCAGATATTTTTAGTAACTACCTGGAACCCGGTGCTCAGAAGAGCCTTGAGTAACCAGCTTGATAATCCCGAGGCACCATCTAGGAGGGGGCATTAAGCAGGGATGCTGCATTCAGGACCAAGGGAACAGATGATCTGAGGAACTGTGTTTAGTTCTGGGTCCCACATTCAGGAAGGACAAGGATGGATAAGTGAAGGGAGGCACATCAGCATAGGAAGGGCCCGGCATGAGGACCAGGTGAAGGAAGGGAGGTTTAGGATAGCTGCTGTCAAAGATCTAAAGTGCCGTCATGGAGAAAAGAGGAAAGAGCCCCAAAGGACAGAACTAGGAGCAATGTGCTGGAGCAACAGATGGAGAGAGGCAGACCGGGACTTGGTAGAAGAAAGCAGAGAACACGCTGCTTTGGGACCACCCACCCACTAGAGGCTTCCAAGCACAGGCCCGATAAGCCCACAGTAGGGACATTACGGAGGGAATTCTCAGTCTGGCCCACGCTGGATCAGACAGATGGCTGCTAGAGACCCTGCTAGCACTAAGATTCTGGGACACTTGTTCCCTACATCTCAGGGGAGTTGTCAAGGAAGAAAAACGATCTTTTGTGATTTCAAGTACGTCCAAGTTAGAAGAGAGCCTCTTACTTCCCACAGGCCTAAAGAGGTGGACTCCCTGGGCCACGGGAGCCTCAAGGATCCACAGCAAACAGGGTCTGCCAGGCTGGTCCGTAACTCTCCACTCACCTACAACAAGCTGCTGGGCTCCTCTGAGATGGGTCATTCGTGGAGAGAAGCCGTCATGCAAGGCCAGCAGGCACTCTGGCTTCCCTGCAGTACTGGGTTAATTTGATGACCCTCGGGGTCTCTGAGAGCAGTGGAAGAGGTGCAGGGCTGGGGGCCTGAGCTACTTCCTCCTCTCCTGCAGCCAGAAGGATGGCTCTGGGGGTCTGCACCAAGGTCTAACAGGACAGGTGACACCTTTGTTGCAGCAACTATGGGAGAAGGGCCTCAGAGGAGGCCAGGACCGTCTGCCTCAGCTCATACCTAATCTGCCGCCCCACTCTGAAGGGGTCCCTGGGGGGCACTAGCAGCATAGGTCACTGGGAGCTGCCCTGTTCCTTTCTCTCCCCAACTTGGAGCTTGGCTGCCTCATTAGTCCACAGCAGAATGGCAGATACAGATCACTGTGAAAGACTCTAAAAGTATATCTAACACAGTCTCACCTTTCCTACCTTCCTATGGAAGAGCTTGACCTGTTTTACCTGGCCTCTTATTCCAATGAAACATCTGAGGGCACTCACGTCAATCATCACTCACTCATCAAGAAAAGCTTCCAACTGCCCTCTCAGTCCCAGCCCTCAGCCCATTTGGAGGAGGCCTGGCATCCACTACCTCAAAATTCTGTCACAATTTCTTTACCGTGTAAAGAAAAGGGACTTGGGTGAATCAGTACTTAAAGCTTCCAAGCCGTGGAGTCAGTCTCTCACTTCCTGACCACAGCGATCATTCCACATCTGCTCTGGCTTTGTCCCTGCGCTCCATGTATTAAACATGACATGACCCCTGCCCGGCTGCATCACTCTTTTTATCTCATGTTGCAATAACTCTTACCTGTCAGCTGAACCGGCTGCAATTTTGCTTCCATCAGGTGACCAGGAACACCTCAGGAGATTCTGCAACAATGAGCAAAGAGGGTCCATTGAAAAGAGCAGCATTTTCAAATGCTCACCAGAGCAAGAGATGGCAGAACTGGAAGGGACCTTAGATGTCATCTAATCCAACACCCTCATTTTACAAAGAAAGAAGTTGAGATCCATGGAGGACAAGGGGATGGGCTCAGGATGCAGACCCTAACCTCAAAGCCAAGGCATCTGACTTTCCATGTTCTTCTTCCCATACCATGCTTCCTCTTCACTGGCAGGCTCTAAGTAAATCAGACCCCTCCTGGTTCCCCACACCAAGGCCTAGCCGGCTAGTCAGTGACAGTGGCTCCTCAGCAGTTGTACCCTCCGCCCGGCGCTTAGTCCCACCCTGGTGCGGAGAGCTGGTTTTGGCAGGCAGGACTGACCTGGGCACATTGTAAGGCATCACAATTTCTTTCCCTAACTCCTCTCCTACCTTCTTTCTGCGCCCGAGGCCTTCGTCAATTAAACCACCCATATTTCCTGAGCATCTCAGGGCTGTGGGGGCAAGAGAGAGTAAAACAAGGTCCCTGTACTTAGAGTGTTCGTAGTCTAGTAGAGAGAGAAGTAAAATGTATATAGCTAAAAAAATAACTAACTCCCAGCATAAGCATCCATGGCTTGAAAATGAGATCATTGAGAACCTTTAAATACCACAAGTTACATTTTAATTGTTTTCCCTAGGAAGATGATCAGCAATTATGGCTTGTATTTTATGACCTAAAACAACGTGCTACTATTTCATAACTCACAGATAATAAAATATAAAAAAAACTGCCTAATTCACACCTAACTAATTGGAGTTATACCTGGCAGAGAAATCTTGATGCTGTGCCTGCAAATAGAAGCTCCCTTTGCTCTATTCATCTTGGTCCTTATTAAAACTCTTTTTCTTTCTCTTTAAAAAACAAAAATTCATGAGCTGATTTACAGAACCAACCTGAGTCCCAGTGAACTCCCAGAGCAAGTATATTATTCTTGAAGACTCTAGGAACCTGACTCCTCTGAACTAATTAGGGGCTCTTCCTGTTTCCCCATCACCAAGTATATGGTAACAGAAGTTGGGAAAGGGAAGGCTTAAGTGGCCTAGGGACGAGAACACCTGCTGAGGACATACAGCATCCCAGTCCTAGACAGAGCCGGCCTGGCCTGGCCATCAGACCACCTGCGTTCTGGTCCTGGAATGCAAGCATTACCAGATCTGGGAAACTATCTCAGAAGAGGCAAAAGAGATTCCCTAAAGGGCCTCAAGTCCGTCATTTCTCCTTAAGAGGAAGAAAGGAAGAAGTCACAGGATCAAAGAATCTCAGCTGGAAGAGCTATCCAGAGGTACTAAGTTCTGATCAATACCTGAACAAGAATCCCCTCCATAAATTAATTTAATTTTTTTTTTTTTTGTGAGGCAATTGTGGTTAAGTGACTTGCCCAGGGTCACACAGCTAGTGGGTGTTATGTGTCTGAGGCTGGATTTGAACTCAGGCCCTCCTGACTCCAGGGCCAGAGCTCTATCCACCGAGCCACCTAGCTGCCCTTAATTAACTTTTATTAAAAGCACTTGCTATGTACTAAGTGGTAGGGCTACAAAGACAAAATACAAAGCCACGCCTGTCCTGGAGAAGCTTATGTTGGACAACATCCCTCACTGGCCATTGTGCCTCTGCTGTCTCCGGAGGTGGCCCATGCCATTTTAGACAGCTCTATTTATGGCAAAGTTTTTCTCCGCTTCAAATCTAAAGCTGCTTCTCTGAGACTTCCATTCACTGCTCCTTGTTCTCTGGGATGAAACAGAATGAGTCTCATCTCTGTTCCCGGAGACAGCCCTTCAGAAATATGAAGCTGGTCATATATCTGTCTTACCTAAGCCTTTTCCAAGCCAAATTACCCCTGATTCCTTCTTCCTGAACTTCATCTGCTGAGGTAAGGCAGGGAGAGAAGCCACTTCCCAGAATGCACTACTATGCTTCCTACAGGACCTCTCTCTCTGACAATGAAGTTTCTGATAATAACAACAATGAACTGCTATTAACATTAATAGAGGCATTATGATAAAGTAAAAGTTCATGGTCATACTAAACATACCTTCTCAAAGTTATGTACGTTTCCCTGAAATATCTTCACACACCTCTCTTTGGGGGCAAAAGGCCGGACATCCCAGATCCGAACTGCAAAGAAACAAGCAGAGCCATCAAAGACCACATGTGGGCAGAAGATGAGAGCCAACTTTCCTGCCACTGGAACAAAGACACGGCCTTCTCTATGTAACAGAAGAGCAGCCGCAGAGAACACCTCCAAGCGCCTGCCCCGATTCTCTTGACGCTCCGAAAGGGAAGAGAATGTGTTTGGCTCTCGTTAAATGGCCCAGGGGAGCCACGGACAATTCAGCGTCCAACATGCTGCTCCAAATCTTGGTCTGTAATGCTCTTCCCCAGTAAGACCAAAAGAAGAACACAAACCAAACCAACCCTTCTCAAGTCCCTAGTCTCTGACATTGTGCACAGGCAGAGCACACCTGAGGACTTCAGGATCCACAGCAGTCACCTGACGAGGATTCCCTGAGATCTACACCGACTAAGCCAGCTTATTCCCCTCTTCTCTCTAAAGTAATTTAATAGAGCTCAGGGGTACTACAATGAAAAAAACCCAAATGGATCATTCCACATGGATAACCACAAGTGTCCCCTCTTGTGGGGCCCTATTCCATAATGCTTTGGGTACACCTGTTATTTTACCTCTACCGGTTCTACCCAGATACCCCTCCACCCCGATTTTAAAGAAAAAATAACATGTGTGTATATAGACATATAGGTATAAGTATGCATCTATATAGGTATATGTGTGTATATATCTTTGAGTCAGAAGAGACCATAAAAGTCATTAAGTCTAACCTTTTTTATTTTGCAGATGCGAAAACTGAGACTCAGAAAAGATGCCCGGCCTACAATGAGAGTGACTCAGTCAGTGACCAAGCCAGGACCAGAGGCCAGGTCTCCCACTGACCAGTCCAGTGTCCTGTGCACTGACACCACCCTCTTACTGGTTGTCTCCAGTTATGGCACTGCCTTCCTCTAGAGTGTATCTGCATCCAGGCCTTGCTCCCACAAGCAGACCCACAAGGACCTGCTTATCCTTCTAATAACTCCATCTCCCTCTGTGACTCCTGGAACCGCACTTCAAACAAAGATGATTATAGCTCATCAGTTCAGTCTAAATTAGATGCAATCTCCAAATTATTCCCATTCTCTGCTTACTCCCTTGCTTCTCACTCCTTTTTTTTTCTCCCTATCTGGTACTAATTAACTTTTTTTTTTTTAGTCCATATGTGTGGCTTAGTTTCCGTGGCTTCAGCTATTGATTTCCAATAGCACTACTGGTCTGTTCTTCATATAAACTGGTGGCAAACACTCAGGATAAAAAACATCACCCAAACATTCCTACTTACTGAACTGTATGGTTCCTCTGTCCCTGCTCTTCAGAAGAAAACCCTTGGGAAAACCCGAGTACAGATCTGCACAGCAGGGATGCCAGAGTGGGGAAGGCCAAAGGGTGTAAACACTCAAAAGCAAAGGAGGCGATTTTAATCGATTTCCCTGCAGAATCCATGAATATTCCTAGGCAATTTGAAAATTGGTTTTAGCCATCTGGTCCAGAAAATCCTCAAAAGATATAAAAAAGTCACTGCCCTAAGGAGAGCCAGCAGACCTTGGTCCTGGTGCTGATGATGTCAAGAATGAGCTGTGAAATCTTGAGCAAGGGTTAATTTCTCTTTAACTCAATTTCCATATCTGAACAGGGGGGAAAATAATACCTGCCCTGGGCTGCCCCTACAAAGGCATACAATTCCACAAACATTTATTAAATGCATATCACACGCTGAGGCTACAAAGATGAAAAACAACACAATCTCTGTTCTCAACACACTCATAGGCTGATGGGGAGAAAAAAGAGACAAGAATTGGTGAGGATCACAGAAGCCAATCTTTGTGAAAGTGTTTTGAAAACTTACAAACAAAAGGAAGGGATGTGTTGTTACAGAATGGTCTCAAACCAACTGCATGAATGATTGGGCTGTACACTGTTTCTTTACTCTCACCAATGCTGCATTTGGCTAGTAGAAAATCTACTCAAGGCAAGAACCAAATGACCATATCCTCAGACTCAAAAGTTCCAAATAACTAGCCCCAAATCTAAGGAGATCCTAGCTTATTAAAAAAAAAAAATCAGCATAAAATAAAATGAAGACCAGGATTAAGAATCAAAGCCGATTAGGAATATTTGACATTTAGGTTTATAATGTTCAATGTCAAGTCACTGAAATTCAGAACATCCTTTAGTCTAAAACACCCAAGCATGGGAGTACACATGAAAGGGGGAAACTATGCCCCCCGCCTATCCCTGGCTCCCACCTCTACATTCCATATACTCCCACCCCCCTCCTCTAACATGGTAACCACATCTCTACCCTTCCAAGTGAGAGGCGGGCTAAGAGGAGTAAGAAAACCCAGGACCTCTTGAATGAACCAAAGGGAAGCTTAACATACAAGTTGAGAAATCTGGTCCATTCCTCATCATTTGAAAATGACTCTCTAAAGAGGTTTCAGAAGGCTATCTCTGAGCATACCCTGGGGGAGGGAGGGGTCTTCCTGACCATATTTCTATGACCTAATTGCCATTAGATCACTCCTCAATGGAACTTCTAGGATGGTGAGATTGGCAGCGTGCCTTCCTCCCCAGGCGTACCTGTGTTGTCCATTGCATTGGAGAGCAGGTAAGACCCTTCAGAGCTTAGACTCAAGCCTGTCACAGAATCGGCATGGCCCCTCATGGTGTATGTCAACTTGTTCTGGCGCAAGTCCCAGACCTGGGTGGAGACAAAAGTATTACCAAAGTGTACTTACAGAGACTTTGTAACATGAGAAATCAGCCTGTAGGGCCATCAGTGAGTAATGGCCTGATAAACTGGGGTATACTGATTGAACAGAATACTACTAGGCCCCTAAATTATAAATATGAAAAATATTAATAAAAAAATTATATTTACGTACTTTTTAGTGGTATAGACATATTTTCAAATATGTCATAATTTCAAAATACGTATATGAAACGCCACAGAGAAAAGAAAACAGAATTAAAACATACACATTGACCATGACTATCTAAAAAAGGTAACAACACTTTACTAGCAAATAGATGAAAAAGACTTCACAAGGGGTCACAGATAAATAAGTTGTGATTATTTCCAAAGGGTAATGGATTATTTCCAAAGGGCCTACTAGGTGTGAACAGACTTTTATTAAATACATATATTTCTATATGTAGGTGTGTGTGTGTGTGAGAGTGTGCACGTGCACACAGACACACACACATAATACTGTGCAGAAGCAGAGACTAATGACAGCAAGGGGAGGCGGCAGATCAGTCATGTGGCAAGAGGGAAGAATTACTGAGGGACTGCCCCCACACTCCAGTGTTTACTGTGCAGTATCAAGAGATCTAGCAAAGGCCCCACCATACTGGGTGGACTTGCTGTGGAGGACTGACAGGAGGCCACAGATAATAGCAGCAGAGGCCGAGGAACTGCTGAAGTACTTGATGGAACACCACGTTGAAGAGATCGCAGATTCATCAAAGTACTGAATGAGTGTTAGTACTAGTTTTTATTTTTTTCCTTTGCTCAAAAGCAAATAGTTTGAATTTTCTTTTTATTTGGAATTTTAGCCCAATTTCATTTGCTTATTCATTTTTATTTATGGAGATTACTATCCACAATATTAAATTACATCTAAAAATATTTTCCAGAACTCAAGCTGAAAGAGAAATGCATGGATAGATGCATACTCTCCTAGGGAATCAGTTTTTTTTTTTTAAATGCTCTCTTGATGGCTAAGTAGTGCCACTTTTTAATCTGGATTTAGGGCTAACATTTATCTTAAATACAAAATTGAAACATTGCTCTCTGCTTGAGTAGGGAAAAGCAGAGCAGCAGTTTCACTGGCCTGGTGACTGAATCAAGTGCCAGCAATCAAACCTATCCGGAAGGCAAGCAACACCCCTTTCTCCATCAATAGCACCTTCCTCTGCAGAACCTAATACACTTTATTAAGAATTTACCTGTTGGGCTGTTTGCTGCCTCAGGACTCAGGAGTGCTGAGAATGGTAAACAATGTGTTAAAACTGTCATTACTACTCTTCACTAGCGGTTTCATTGAAATCTGCTCAGTAGCAACGTGGAAAGAATTAAATTCACCAGAATCCAAACCATAGGTGCTTCTCCATTTCCACATTTCCAAATTTTCCCTCCTTCCTTCTTAGTAAGGGATTTGTAAAGGCAGAAAGATGCTTCCATTAGAGTCAAAACAGTTCTGGGATCTCACCAAAAAGTGAGGTAAGAGCCAGGCACTTATTTCTGCCAAATTCCTGCTAAAATTCCATTCTGTTGCTTCTCACCCCAAATCAATTTCCTATCACGACTGCTGCTCAGGCCAGGCCTACAGAAAAGGCAAAGTCCTGCTTGGCCGGCCACCCAGCAAGCCAAATCACCTTCCCTTCTCAGCTTTCCTCGCCCTTAGTCTCTCCTCATACTGCCTGGCAGAACAGAGCCCCAGTGGGCTGCAGAGGAAACTGGTTTGCCCTTAATGCTCAGCTTCTGGAACAAAGGAACTATAACAAATCAGCAGGATTGTATTTTACTTAAGTATCGTGTAGAGAATTCATAGGCTGGTGAAAGATTTTTCTAACCCCACTTCTTGCTTTCTTAATAACTGACATCTATATGCCCCCTCATGGTTTAAAAAGTGATGTATCACACTACCTCATTTGACCCTCATAATAACCCCGAGGCAGATACTCTAGGCACCTTATTCTCATTTTACAGGTAGGGAAACTGAGGCTCAGAAAAGTCACACAGTGAATAAGTTCCAGAGGTGTGATCCTAACCCAGGGCATCCTGACTCCAGTCCTGTATTCTACCTATCCCCCCTAGGGTTCCTGGGATAGCCACCACTACCTATAGATGACTGAGATTCAATTCAACTCAGCAAACACTGACAGAGCACCTAGCACAGGGGTGGGGAATCTGTGGCCCTCTAGGTCCTTGGGTGCGGCCTTCTGACTGAGTCTAAGTTTTACAGAACAAATCCTTTTATTTTTTTTTTTTTTGCTTTTTGGTGAGGCAATCAGGGTTAAGTGACTTGCCCAGGGTCACACAGTTAGTAAGTATCAAGTGTCTGAGGCTGGATTTGAACTCAGGTCCTCCTGACTCCAGAGCTCTATCCACTGCGCCACCTAGCTACCCCTTAACAAATCCTTTTATTAAGTGAATTTGTTCCGTGCAGTTTGGATTCAGTCAAAGAGTCATACTGGAGAACCTGGAGGGCTACATGTGGCCTTGAGGCGGAAGGTTCCCCACCCCTGACCTAGTGTATGCCACGCATGGTACACATGATGACAAAAACAACAGAGCCCCTGCCTGCAAGGTAGACTATCATGCCCCGCACATAAGCAAAGATAACACTGGCTTGATGTGATCCGCTCTCTGAGGAGGACATGTGAGCCACAGAGTAGCAGGTGTCCCCAGAAGGTTCTGCTGATACCTTCTCTATTTCCTCAATAGTCAGTTAATACTCAGTGACTCCCTGAGGGCAGTGTGGTAGAGCAGAGAAAGCACTACACTCTGATTCACAAAGAAGTTGTTTTCAGTCCTGACTTTCACCATACATGTGATTTAGAAAAGTTCTCTGGTCTCAGTTTTTCAGGGGATCCATGAACTTGGATAGGGGAAAAAAAGTTTTTATTTTCACTAACCTCTGCCTGAAACCTAGCATTTCCTTCAATTATGAAATTAAAAAAAAAAAAAGAAAGATTAGGTTTATGACACAAAAAAGGTTAGGAGTCCCTGGACTAAATGATTCTTAAGGTTAATTTTCTATGATCTGCTGATGAACAGGGATTTTCATTTCTTCCTCTGCTGGTGGGTTTTTGAAGAACAGCTCAACAGTGTCGTGAAGAGCTCACTAAAAACGAGGGCCAGCTTCCCTCTGATCAGCTGCAGCCATTCACCTCCACATGTTTTTAAAGTGGGGAGAAAACAGGGATTCTAATGAGTCCTAAAAGAGGGAGACAAAACCAGGTAATAAGAGTGTCCAAAGTGGGAACAGAAGGTGGCCACAAAAATGGCAACTTCTGACTTGGACCATTATCTACAGTTCTACTTCCTACCTCTCATGAAATGGAAAATATTAGTCTGAAAAGGATCCAGAGAAGAGGAACAGAAAATTATCATGGAGAGCAAGTGCAAGAGAAAAAAATTAGGTCTCTTCTGTCTAGAAAAAAGAATACTTAAGAAGGAATATATGATCAAAATTTGTTGTGGTAGGTAGTATAAATGTTTAAAAACCATCTTACAAGAGGCAGCTAGGTGGTGCAGCGGATAGAGCACTGGCCCTGGAGTCAGGAGAACCTGAGTTCAGATCCAGCCTCAGACTCCTGACATTTACGAGCTGTGTGACCTGTGCAAGTCACTTACCCCTGACTGCCTCACCGCCCCCCCCAAAAACAAACAAACAAAACACCATCTTACAAATGAGAAAACCTAGTCTCAAAGATGTTAAATAACTTGCCTATAAATGTCATAGTCAGGACTCAAAGTCATGTCTTCCAGGAGCCAGAGAAACTGGGTTCAAATTTGATAAAAATTTGTGACATCGTAGGATGAACAAAGATGCCTTTACAAAATGGCATATGGGCTAGATGGAAAGACTAGTCAAATCTGAAACTGATTGAGGGGATGATGGCATAGATCTAACATGAGGGGCAATTTAACAACACTAGAAGTGGGGCTCCAGTGGGCACAAAAGAATATTTTTACTAAAAATAACAATAGGTACTCCAGGCTGAAATATGTAAATATAAAAATAAGGGTATAGATTCATTTCCTTGGTGCCTCTGTCAGCGCTGATAGAACCCAAGGTGGTATGCAGGAAGCAGATGGACCACTAGCTGGGCCAGGCTGGAGCTGGCTCATTCTACTCACTCTTCTTAAACCTAAGGGTGCTAAGGTGGTTCTCTATCTGCTCGTGGAGCTGAGTCAGGCAGAGGCTGGATGGGTCACCAAGGATCTTGATGCCTCTCTACTGAAGGCAACACCACCCCAACATCTATCTACCTATCTGTGCACCTGGTCCACAGGGCACTCACCACAGCCGTGGAGGTGAAGAGAGAAGAATCATGGAGGGAAACAAATGCAGGAGAGAGTCTTAAAACAGCAAGTCCTCCTTCCTCTCTTACACACCTGCCTCTTCCTAGTCCACCACCCTCAAACCACCCTTCCCCAGATTAAAAGTAGCCTAGGGAGTTTGGGTATAATTAGGAGTATGGGAGGGATGGTGAAAGACCATCCCACACAATCAACTTATGACACACAAAAGAAAGTATGGAGAATGCCCCCCCACCAAAAAAAGGCACTAGAGAAGCCAGTTCTGAACAATTCAAAAACACAAAAGCTATCTCTTCCCTCCTCTAAACCCTCCCCCCAAAGGGGAAAATGTGTCTTTTTCGACATCCAAATCAAGAGAAAAGGGGCTAAGGATGCTTTCTGCTACCATCCTGTTCACTCCCCTCTGCTGTCTAAACTAGGACATCCTCCACCTCCCACCTCCCACCTCCCACCTCCCAGGCTGAGCAGCACAGATCCTGAACAACCACATTAAGGCTAATTTCCTAGCTCCACAGGCAGTCTACCTCTCTACTGTCACAGCCTGCTCCCCAGAGGACACCGAGAGCACAAACTCAAAGCCACTGCTGTCAGGCAGTCCCTGCTCTCCACCCTAGCTTTACTTTCATAGCCTTAGACGTTAACAGCCAGCTGACTGACTGTCTACCTCCACAGCCTAAAAGGAGGTCCCACTGCCACCCCCAGTACCACCTCAAGCTTGGAGACCAAAACTGTCACCTCTAGTTCTACCTTCAACATCAGATGTAGCCAATAGGCTATAGGGAAGCCAACGTTTTCATCCCTCTCCCTTATTGACAAGGTAAAGGCCCCACAATTCAATTTCTTACCCAGAACACCTTTTTGAGGCCCACCCCTGCTGCCAATGTCACCCCTGAACAGAGATAATAAGAAAAATCAAAGACAAATTCTAGTACAATGTAGAAATTCTATCACATGAGAGAACTAGACGATAAAACTTCTTTGGAATTAAACTGTATAATAAATACATTAAAGGAAGACTCTAATGGGGGGGAGAAGAACAGAAACAGACAAAGGCACAACTTATAAAAATGCGCAGTAACACTGAAGAAATGGCAGCAGCAAACAGTGGAATAAAGTCATATGAAGGACAATTAGTAGGGAAAATAAAATTGAATTATCTCTAAATACAAGAACTCAAATGACAACCAATGCATGTGCAGAACAAAGTAATAAAGGCGACAAGTAGAATTGTGAACTTTAGATCAGAATTCCTGAAGACATCAGAAAAGAAAAGAAAAAAAAGAAAGAAAGTCACTAGGTACTGTGCTTGAGGATGTGGAGAAGTTTCCAGAATAGAAAAGAAAAGGTGATACTTCGCAAGAAGAGTGAAGACACTAGACTTCAGCATGAAAAAATCCTAATTACAAATCTCCAAAGCATGTAATTGTTAAGTTTCAGAATTACAAAGATCTCTGAATGTCAAGGGAAAAAAAGGTAAAAATGCCAATTCGACTATCATCTAACTTTTCAAAAATAAGGAGACAATTAACGAAGCTGGACAAGACTACAGGAAAGCTTTAAAAGCACAGAATTAGATGTTAAAGTATAGAATACAGATGTTATAATTATGAGTAATTAACATCTGAAAGTAAAATACTTATCAGCGTTACAGGAATTTCAAACTGAATTAACAGAAACAATAATATACTTTAGATGTTATTACACAGTTAATATTTTTTCAAAAAGCTTTTGCAACCATAAGAGAAACATTTAGGTTGGAGTTTGAATGAAAAAAAAAAAAAAGCATAATAAGACTAGCACAAAAAGGAAGAGGGCTAAAATATATACACAGTTATTACTAAAGACATTTAAAACAGTAAGAAACCACAAAAAATGAAGAGAAAGGTGAATTGACACTCCTAAAAGCTATCTATAACAAAAAGAGGCCAAGCCTTAGGGAATGCTAAGAATTCGTTTCCATAATTTAAATTAGAAAATTTAATTTGGTTCACTAATTGGTTTTTAACAGTAGAAATAGTTATGGAAAATTAAAATAGATTTTACTCCCGCTAGACACATCAAGAACAATAAGAAGATGGGAGGGGAGGGTTGGAAAGGTGAGAAGACAAATCAAATTTAACATATATAACAATAAATGTCAATCTCTTTTAATGGGGATTAAAACCCAAGAGTGGACCAAGAGACAAAATCTTTAAGTGTTTTGTTTACAGGTAACATGTATGATGCAAAAAGATACATATAGATCAAAACTAAGAAGTGGTCTAATTACATCATGCAACTGCAAGCTCAAAAAAAGCAAATGTGGCAATAATGACAATGTCAGACAAAGTTGAATGCAAACTAAAAAATTTAACCATGGGCATTATGACAATTAAAGGAATAATGAATAAGTTACTTAATTTTACATTTTTATACAACAAACATTCAGCAATTACACTTATTAAAAGGAGAATGGTCTCATAAGAAAAAATAAAATCATGATAGTAAGGGACTTCAATATTTCATTATCAGACTATTTAAGAAAAGAAAAAGAAATCGCAAACTTGTTATTGAATGAGCTGAAAATAAGAGATAAAGAAAAATTAAGTGATTGAAATAAAGGATTCTTGTATGTTCTTTTCAAGTACATATAAAACTCTCAGAAAAATTGATCCTTGGCTTGGTTTTAAAAAGCTATGTTTGGCAAATCCAAAAAAGCAGCAATCTTGTATGTTGTATTTTCAAGATGACAATGCAATAAAATTAAATAATAGCATGACTAAAAGCTACACAGTAACAATGAAAATTAATCTACTAAACTATAGGTCTGACAAAAATCACAAAAATGATAAGAGAATGTTTATAAAACAATGATAGCACTCATACTACATAACAAAATCTAGAGTGTACAGGCAAAATAGTTTTTAGAAGCAAATTTATAGTACTTAGTGCCAACCTTAATAAGAAAGGAGAAAGACAAAAATCTACAATAAAAGACATTAGAAAAGGAAGAAATAGTCCAAAGAGACAATGAAAAGAGCAGAAATAAATAGAACATGAGAGAACAATTTAATTAATAAATAGCACTAAGCTGGTTTTTTTTAAAAAGGCTAATAAAAATGGATAAGCCATTAACACACACAAAAAAGGAGAGAGAAAAACACAAATCAACAAAATTACAAAGGAAAAAGAAAAGACCACAATAAGCACACAAAAAAATTAAGAATATCATTAGGGAATACTGTGCAAAAATATTCTAACAAATTAGAGAATCCAAGCGAAGTGGTTGATTACACACTAAAATATAAATTACCCAAATCGACAAAATGGGAAATTAATAACTTAAATAAACCAATTTCATAGGAAGATATAATAAAAGTAACCTTAATAAAATACCCTGCTATGGTATACTGGAAAAAACTCTCAGCTCGGATTCAAGGCAGACCTCGATCTGAGTGCCTCAGACACTGAGTAACTTCATAAACCAAGCAAGTTCTTAAACTTCTCTGAGCCTCAGTTCCCTCATCTGAAAAATGTTAATAAGTGTGGAGTAGTAGACTTGCTGTAAAACCTGAACGCACCACATGAACGTCAGCCCTTATGACAATCATTACAATGATAAACAGATAACTTATAAAAGAGGAACTAGAGAAATCACTTTGGAAAATGCTTGACTTCCACTAAAAGTCATAATAGGCTTCACTGGTATCCTGTGCAGATATATCATAAACTTATATGTTTAAAAGATCAAAAAAGAGAAGTAGGAAAAGGGGAATGATTCAACAGGAGACACACCTTGATGTCGTTGTCGATGCCACCAGAGATAATCTGATCACTGGTGTCATTGAAGGTCACAGTCAATACCTGGTATGTATTCTGAAATGTCTGGACAGCTGCTTTCTTCCGGATATCCCAAAGCTGAAATGATAGCATCCAGATGTTCAATTAACAATGCAACTTACTCCCACTGCAAAATCTTTCCAGTTTAAGGGCTCAAGTGTAATTATAGCACGAAGTAATTAAAGCAATGGCTGCTCATAGACCCTGAACTCCCCAGTGCTCCTGCGGATTCACGTCAAATGCAACAAGTATTTATTAAGCACTTACAGCATACCAGGTACCCTGCTAGGCACTGAACATATGACAAAAATGAAACAATTCCTGCCCTCAAGAAGCTTACCTTCAGGGCAGCTAAGTGGCACAGTGGATAGAGCACCGGCCCTGAAGTCAGGAGGACCTGAGTTCAAATCCAGCCTCAGACCAAACACTTGACACTTACTAGCTGTGTGACCCTGGGCAAGTCACTTAACCCCAATTGGCTAAATAAAAAAAACAAAGAAAAAAAAGAAAAAAAAGAAGCTTACTTTCGATTGGGGGAGCCAACATATACACAACACACATTCTCTCTCTGTCTCTGTCTCTCCCCCCCTCCAAGGTAGCAGAGAGGCAGTATGGCATAGGGGATTGAGAGCTGGCCTTGAAGTCAGGAAAGCCCAGGGGTTCAACCTGCCTCTGATGTATTCTGGCTGTGTGACCTGGACACATCCCTTCATCTCTCACGAAGGTGCCAACTTGTACTGTTGGAAGATGTTCCCCCCAGAAGACCCCTACATCAATGAAAACAAAGCCCTATTCTAGATACACAAGGTATCTGGGAAGGATGGGAGTTGTGAAAGAACTGCTGGAAAAACTGTAAAGCAGTCTGGCAGCAATTAGACTTAGAGCAACATCCAACACCATACTCCACAAAAAATTTGAAATGGGTAAGTGATTTGAATATTACAGATCATGCTTACAAAAACTCAGAATAAAAGGAGACCATTTGCATTTCACAGCTAAGAGTATGGAGATAAATTCTTACCAAACAAGGTAAAAGCTATTACAAAAGATAAAACAATTTCTATTATATGAAATTTATTTTATTTGTGTGAATGCTTTTGTACCCCAAAATTAAACTACCTAGGAATAAGAGAAGACTAATGTTCTAATGGGGAAAAAAAAAAATCTTTGTATCAAACAGCTCAGTTAAGGATTCAGAATTCAAGATATATAGGCAATTAAATATATAAATGGTTTTATATATTTGGAGATATGCACTGTAATGCCCATGCCCCACCTGACACAGAAGTCATGGTGAGGAGACTGAAAAAGTAAAGATCACAATCATAACCAGCAGATGAGTCCTACAGATGCCAGTGACAGAATTTCACAAGGCCTTGACTGAGGGCTATTCTAGAGTCCTGAGTCTTGAACAGGAGGCAGATTTCCTAATGATTTTAATTTAATTTTTTTTATTTTGAACTTCAAACACAAAATTTTATATATCAAAACATAAAAAGAGAATTGTAAATGAATCCATGAATCTATTTCATACTACCTGTCTTTTAAAAGCAAATTATAAATTCCATACATTTTCAAAACTGTCCTGATTGTGCTTGGAGTATCAAAAAAATATTTCAATGGAATTCTTTTGAGCATCGCTATTGCTAACTCCCCACCCCTACCCCTATCCCACATTACTTAAAAAGGGGGAAAAAAAATCCCAAATCTTGTAACAAATTAGCATAGTCAAACACAACAAACTGACACAGTAACAATGTCCAAAAATGTAAGTCGATGCCTCTTTGTCAGGAAGTGGGTAACATGTTTCATCATGTTTTCTGGACACATGGAAAAGTCATTGCCCTAACCAGGGTTTTTAAATTTTTCTAAGCTCTTTTCTTTACAATGTTTTTGTGCTTTTATAAATTGTTCTCTAGGTTCTGCTCATTGTATTAATTCTTACTGCTTGGGATTCTATTAAAGTATATCTCTTGTCCTTTCTTTCAGACTGTTAATATTCCATTGCACTTCTATGCCACAATTTGTTCAGCCATTTCTCCAACTGTTTAAAAGGCAATCTCAGGCACCTCCTCAGTTGGGTTCTAGTCATGCCTCCCCACCCTGCCCACTCCTCTTAATTGATTCCCCTTTCAAGATCAGGACGTTTGTTTTGCTCCCTTTTAAACCTTTCTCTCCCTACCATCCCCAATGTCTTCCTAATGGTTTCAAGGTATTTCTACATCAAATTCTGTGTGTGTATACATGTGCGCCCAACTTTCCTTTGTCCGTTTCTGCATCTGATGCCTATTCTTCCCACCCCTTCTTTATGTTTACATGGTCTTCTTCTCATGTACTCCAATGATGAAAAATTGAGAAACAGTAAGTTCTACTTGCTTCTTCCTTCTTTTACCTTCCGTTCTATTTCCTTCTTCAAGTCCTCACTAGAAGTTGCAGAACAGGTGTCAATCTGCATTGGTAGAGGACATTCCTCACCAGGAGTTCCCCTACACCAATAAAATCAGAGGTCTGAACCAAAAAAAAAGTTCTCAGAATGAATTTACTCTAAGAGGACACATGCCCATACATGTAAACAAAATTCAAAAGAAAGGGAAACAGAGACATAATGAAATAGTAATTTTATATTGGACTCCTTTAGGAAGATAACGCTCAGGAAGAGAGGGAAATCAGAGAAACGATCCAGAAGCAGAGTCAGGATTTACTGATCTTGACTTCCCAAGAACAACAATGGACATGATAAAATTCAGAACAGGGGAGATCTGGACAAGTAACTTTGGAGCAGAGATCTTCTAGGACTCACCTCTGAGGTCTAACTCTGAAAAGGGAAGCACCAATGACGATGTGGGGCCTAACTATGGCTCACCCATGCCAGCAGAAAAGAAAATCCTCTGGGACAGGATTAGCATACAACACAGCTAACTACTGATCTGAGGTCTGCAGAGAATCACACATCTAGCTTCCTTGAAACCACATATGCAACAATCACACAATACAAAGTTTTCAGAAGGGACGGTGAAGATTCTACCCAGAAAGCCACATTCCTCCCCCTCCATATGCTTCTTGGAGACCTCATCAGCGTATGCTGAATTCTCTACCACATTCTCTGTCTATATCTCTATACCTGGTGTACATTGTGCTTAGGAAATATTTTGGTTTTAAAGACTTGAATGGAGGAGGCAAGAAGAGACCCACGTGCTTCTGTCTTACAGTTTAGAAATGGAAAGCATAGGTAACATGGGCAACTCCAGGGAACATATGGCAAGATTGGTTGCTGTAGCCTAGCTTTCTTTGTGCAAGAACATGGGAGTCAGGAATGGTAGTGGAGAGAAGACAGGAGGGCTAAGCAAAAGACAGCCAGGTACAAGGCTCCATGAGCAAGAATCAGTGAAATTTCATAGGTGAGGATAAAGAGTTTATTAATCAATTGAGATTAATGTAAATGATAATGTTAAATGTAAAAGTTATTGCTCAGCATGTAGGACTATACGTGTGACTGATTACTCCTTGGAACTGGATCAAACCTACTGACTAATCAAACTAGTGGGACAAGTAAAAGTATAAAATCAGATGAACAAAATGAGCTGTCCAGCCAAATAATCTCATTTTATCCATACACTTTAAAGAAAGCCAGTGAATCTTCCGCCGGCCACTGGAGTACATGAATTATGCACAAGAGGCAATCTCATTCCACCCATCAGATACTCAATCCTCGACACTGCAAATGAACTTCTCTTTTTACTCTTTTACTCCTGTTACTGCCTTGCCCTTCAAGATGCTTCCTGATTAGATGGAGAGAACCCTGATTGATGGTTCCAAAAGTTAGGGATGCAGGGAGTCAGAGGAAAGAGGAAAAACAGATGGCCATCCTCCAAGTCCTTTCTCCGAGTCTAAATTTCCTCAAAAAGAAAACATGTGAGACAGACTAGGTGATTGTGAAGAGCCCTTCCCGTTCTAGAACATTTTTTTTTTAAGTGAGGCAATAGGGGTTAAATGACTTCCAGTTCAAAAAGTACTGTTTCTGCATCTCCAAACTGTACTTCTCATCCGAGTTCTAGGCCTCTATTTCCACCCACAGGGCAAACTTTACACACAGGAAGAGTGGGCAGTTCACTAAACAGTGGCATTGGGGTGAGGAAATGTCCCTTACTCAAAATAAATTGTTTCTTAGGCATCCCTGGATTTGTAAAGATTACTAATGTCCTTCCAGACTTTCCTGGGGGGGGGGGGGAAGAGACAAAAAATAAACAAAGTAAGTCTCCCTAATCCCTGCCAATTTTCCCTAGGGGATTCTTTTTTTCCCCCCACTTTTTTTTTATTAATTTATTTTGATTTATCAATAATCACTTCCATATGCTT